CTTTAGCGAATAACCTAAGCTGGGTTTTTAGATACAAAATATACAGGAATGATGATAAAAAAGATATATGTAGTTTGTTTTCTCTAACAATCTCTTTGTCTACATGTCTTATATACTAAGCATTTTTATTTATCTGTTTTCAGGATCATTGTGCTCTCGATTAAGATGTTGAGGTGAATGACTCTAATTACTTTTAATTAATTGAAATTTTTTCTCTACGATTGATTATAAAGCTAGTAGGTTGTTTTTCCAATGGTTTTTTTATTTGCCTGTTAAAGACATCAATGATAACATAACCTAGGGCTAGGAGTGTAAACGAACAAAGTTTTTAAAGAACCATTTGTAAACATATTTGGTTACTATTCATTTATGTTCATTTATTAAGCTTAACAAATGATTTTGAATAGTATGAGTAAAGCCTATAAATTCCCATCGATTAAGAACCAAAACAACGGATGGGTAAAGCTTAAAATTCCTATCCTCTTCATCTGTTGCACATCTATACATATATAAATGAATCTTATATTGCTTAAGAACTAAAACAAAGGATGGGTAAAGCTTATAAATTTCAACCCTCTGCCTACCAGCTATGTATATATTAATGGTATAAATATAGAATCCATTAATTGATTGTGGGCGACGGTTTTAGGCTATAATAGGTAATAAGTCCATTTATTGAGATTTAAAACTAGAGGTCATTTGTGTTTGATTAAAGCTCATTAAAAATAGTTGAATTGAGTTTGAATACAAGTTATCTAATTCATTAAGAGCTTGTTTATTATAAATAAACTGGGCTTGAACAAGGAAGAACTTAGCTCAGCTCAATTTATTTACAACCTTTCCAAGGGCTATATGTTAAGATCAACATTTGTGATGGAGAAACCAAATACATAGATTTTTTTTTCATTTTCTAATATAAAAATTGATAGCAAATATATGTTTTCAATTTATAGGATGTATACTTTGACGATGAATCTCTTGAGGTTGTCATATCATCTTTAAGGCTTGGTGATAATCAAGGAAGGTGAGTTTTTTTGTCGTTACTCATCGTAATTGAGTAATTAGTTGATGAGGTTCATGATGGATACTCTATATGGGTGAATGTTGTTCAAGAACCTCTTATTACCTTAGCTTTTACAAACATATAGTTTATATTCTTTTGTTAAAATAGCTATATTAATGGAGATTACAACCCATGTTTTTCTAATACAATAGTTTATTCATAAACTCCAACTGGTTTGCATTTCAAGATGAACCTTTTGCCACATCTCTCATAGAGGTTATGGATGAGATTAACTTGAATGGCATTGCAAATGACAGTAAGAGTTATAGTAATAATGAGGTGGTAGTTGGAGAGGAAGACAAGTTAAATGAAAAATAGTCAGTGAATGGATTTAACAAATAGTTGGGTAGTTGCACATCTACTTCCAATGTGATGAATGGGTTTGACAATTCCATGATTGGAGTTTTGAATCCATAAGGGGAGAAAGCAAATGCTTCTCAAGAAAGATATCAATTAACTAATCATGAGAAAGATTAATTGTGGAAATGTCTAAAGCTACCTTTTATGTGTATGCATTAGCCTTATAAAAGAAAAAATTGCCATGGAGGGAATATTGCGGGTAAGTTTGGGTAGTTGATGCAACTGGTGAGCTTTAGATGTTTCCTTAATAGGTTGTAATTTTAGAAAAAAAAAAAAGATAGGTTATTGTAATTGGATGCAAGTGATATTTGGCAGACTTACTAAAATAAAAGAGAACTGGAATATGTAGATTGAGTTTCACTAAACAATTTTTTCCTTGGGTATCTCAGAAATGCCATTATTAATGCTTATGTTAAGCATTTCTCATATTGCTAAAGTCATACTAAAAATACTAGCAATTGCTTATTATTGCTTATTGCACTCTTTCCTTTTACATTAGTTGTATATTTTCTATTTTTGATAATGTTGCTTTTTATTGCTCATAGCAATCCTACTCAACAGTCATCTTTTGCTAACATAGTAGAAGCATTAAAGAAGTTGCTCAAGTCTCCATTGTAGTTGATGCAAATGGGAATGTAGTGATAATGGCCATAAGCTAAAACCATTCATAATTGTATTCATAGATACTTTAACCTAAAGGACTAAATTGATTTAGTAGAGAGAAACCATAAGCTAGTTTTTAGGGAAACACTTGATCAAAGGAGATGATTACACATGGCATTGGATTATTGGTATTCGCCTTTCAAACTGAATCATATTATGACTAAGATATTGTCATATTTGTAATACTTTGATATTTGATATCTTATAAATGTCTTATTTCTTTATCATTAGCTTGTATATATATATATATATATTTCAATGTTGATGCTTAAATGATAAAATCCTCATAATATAAATAAAGTTTTGCAAGGAAATTACAATGAGATTGTAATTATGATATCATCATTGCATAAAAGCTATATATTCCAAAAGTGTTCCTAATTGATACTTTATTAATAAGAGGACATTGACAAAAGCTATTGAGACTAACACATAGTTATTTTCTTACTTATAAAGCAAGCAATCGATCTCATAAGTTGAAATTTGGATAAACTTGAGCTAACATATGGGTATTTGTTATAAGAACAAGTTCACTAAACATAAACCAATATGAGAATACTATATGGTAGTTCACATAGTATCTATGTGATAGTTATATTAATGATCTTATATTCTTATGTGATAGTTATATTAATGATCTTTTGACTTAAGATTACTTATGATCTTATATCATAAATGTTATACTTTGACTTTACTTATGGTTCTAATGAAGAATGCTCTAGTCGAGTATTGTTGGATATAACATAAGGCATATGAAGATGCATGAAGTAATCAAAATGGGATTCATCACCTTGTGTGATCAAAAGAGTATCTCAACTAATCTTGATTGAATTAACTTGAGAAATCTTTGGCCAAAGTGAAATAAGATTTTGGAATTGTTCTTAAACTTATTTGTGAGTTAATGTCAAGGACAAGACTTAACATGGTTGAACAAGATTGAGTCAACACTAAACCATACTTAATGTTCAAACTAATATACTATGTGATAAAAAGATATTTATTATATACTAAAACCATTCATGGATAGGTTGTTAATATTGACTTTTCTTTAGCAATTAGCAGTCATGGCAATGAAGCTAGCATGATCACGATCTATAAATATAAGATTGACTAATTAGAGAATTGCTAATGAAAACAAAAAGTTTGTTTCATCCATAGCCAAATACTAAAGCTTATAGTGCTTTTGTTTATAGCTAACATACTAAAGAACTTAATGGGTCATACATAATAGGATAATTGTGAAAGATTAAAATTGGGACAAATTAAGTTAGACTTAATTTGATTTTGTTATAACCAAAATAAAAGAAATAAAAACAGGAGAAAGAGTTTCCTTTGTATGGTACATTCAGCTAACATAGGATTAATTGTGAAAATTTTTATTCCAAATATTAAACCTAATGTAACCGAATGCATCCTTTATAAAAAAAAAACATCAAACTACCCCTCTTGGAAAAAGTAACAAGAAAAAAATGTTTTACTTAAGAAAATATAAGAGGTCTTAAAAATACTTACTAGCTACAGTATGGCTTTGAGTTCACCAAACCTTAGAGAATATTCTTTCATAAGAATTCATATGGATCACCATTAGAGGCTGAACACTTAGGCAGCTTTTTGGCTTGGAATCTATTTGGAAGATCACCAAATTAACAAAAAAAATTTCAGCATCCAAAGTAAACACTTAAGCCGAAAACCAATGCATGTTTGTAAAGCTGTTTGTTTGTATAATCTTATTGATTGATCTTGGTTTTGGGGAGTTAAATTTTTAAAAATTATGCTACTCTATCTTTGATAATGATACATAATTCCTTTCATGGGTGTGGTTTGTACTATTTTTTACTTGTATTTTATCTATTAATGCGTTAAAACTTAAGAATGCAGTAGAAAGAAACCACATTTCCTGCAATTGCATTTTATCTATTAATGCTAGCAATGCAAGGTAATTTTCTTTTATTGATGTATCTTTTGAGCTAATTACTCAATTGCCTCTTAAATATATAGCTCATAAAAGCTATCTATCTTTTTTATATTTGCCTTGGTCTACATTAAGGGGTTTGTTTTCATCCACACTATCCTTCGACTAACACTTAAACATAGTTGTCGTCTACTTAGTCGAGGACTGCAATCACTATCCCACTATTTGCAAGATTTTGAAGTTTTTTGCCAAGGTAAAAGACCATTAAAAGCTTCTATCATTGCATGTCTTCCTTAATTTCATTATGGCTACTTAGAAGGTGTAAATCTTACTTAAATTAAACATTTTATGATGGGTTAAATTCATGCATGAAGTAATTTCACATCTCCATTAAAACAAATGAAAAGGTAGAAAAACCATTAAAAGCTTTTATTTGTTGACCTTGATATATAGCAAAGGAAACATTGGCCTTCACCGTTTTTGGCCTTCGTGTGCAATAAAGGAAACATTGGCCTTCATCTTTTTTTTCCCTAGAATTATGATGATGGTCATTTCTATTTCATGAAATCTGTAACTAATACTAAAAATTATTTTGGTTATTTTATTGTTAGAATTAATGTATTTTGCATTGAAACTGAAATATTATACCTCATTTAAAAGGTGTAAAACTTGTTTGAATCAAATATTTTATGATATTAAATTTTTAAAAAATATATTTAAATGTAAAATATCAAGATCCACATTGGTCACCTAACTTAAGAAATTGATTACTTAATTTTTATTGTTTAATATTTTATTTTATTTCACTATTATTTTAAATATTTTTATATTTTTATAAATTAATTTAACCAAACGTTAATAATAAATTCGAATCGCTATCGTTCCAGTACTGATAATTTCTTTCACATCCCGTACACATTGTGCCGCTTTTTCCTGTCCCATCATAAAACCAAAAATACTAATTCTGATAAATAAAAATCTTCTTCTTTATTATTTCTTTTCAAAAACTCTTTCCGGGAAATTTCTTGGGAGCAAAGAGTTAGAAAGTAACGGAAAATTAAAAAATTTTCTGTCTAAAAGGGTAATTTTAAGTAAAAATGCATTCGCTGAACCTTAAGGTTTTGACTGATTTGAATGCTGGAAATGGGAGGAACTGCTTTCCGGGCAAGCTGGTTATGGATTGGCGACGGATCTAGACTTTGGGAGGAGGAGAAGGGATGGGTGGGGTTGTTGGTATGGTGGCGCTGCTGGTGGTCGGGAGTGTAGGATAGTGGCGTGTGCGGTGGAGAGGATCGGGAATGGCGGGAATGGTGGTGGAGGGGAGAGTCCGAGTTTGAATCCTAGTCCAACTCAGAGCCAAACTTATGCAATGTTGAAACAACAAATGGACATTGCTGCTAAATCTGAGGTCAGTTTTCCTTTCTTGCGCGTTTAGAGGTTTTTTTTTTATTTTTTTTCTTTTTAAAAAACGAAATAAGAGTTTTGTTTGGATTTTTAGGATTATAAAGAAGCAGCGATAATACATGATTCTTTGAAAATGTTTGAGGAAGAGGAGCCTGTTTTGCTTAGGAGGTTGATTAAAGAGGCTGTTGCTAATGAAAGATTTGAGGTACTCCCTAAGATTCTTAACGTTTTCTCCCCTACCTTTAATTGATTCAATGTGAATATGTAACTTTGAATGAGAAGTATAGGTTGCTTGGAATCATAGAATATGGCTTTTTAGTCAGAAATGCTATCTGAATTACTACTGGGAATGCTTGCTGTTTAAGATGTAATGATAATCCAATGCTTCATGGATTCTAACGTTTCACAATGAATTCTCAAAAGGTTAAAATTACTGACTTCACATGAAACTCATGCCAATTTTGGTTTTTCAAGGCAGCAATTTTAAACGCCTGGCTTATTTCATTCGGATACCTAACAAAAAGGACATATGTTTTTTTTTAAGTTTTGCCCATTATGCAATGGGTCTCTAGAGATGGAGTTACAACTCTGTTCTCAGTTTTGATATTCTCTCAATTTTTGTATGATATATTTAAATCCTGTGTCTATCCGGTTGTTCCTTTTATTTGCATACAATTTTGTCAGGTTCAGCATTTAATTTTATTCAACCTGTCCTTTCTTCACATTTTGATGACCTTTATATCCATTGTAGAACTCAAAGTCATTTTTTACTTTACTTTCCTCTTGTCTTCTTCGCAGTTTGAATACAGATAAGATTATAGCTATCATAGTTTCTCCCTATTTTTTGCAGCTTTTGGAATTTTCCCAAAAATCATCATGAATGCAACCAAGTTGTGTGGGTGTAATACAAAAGTTCCCTCAAAGACATTGGAATTAAATGCTGCTATATGAACTATTCTTGTTTCATGCCATACTCAGTTACTCATATGGATTTGGATATAAATGACTTTGAATTCTTTTAAGCTCATAATCTCTTTCCTGATTCATTTAGACTCTGGAGTTACCTTCTTTATGTACTCTTTTTTTGCCCCACTTTTGATTTTAATTTCTAATGTTTGACAATTAGAGATTATTTACGGATAATAATCTCACATAATGCATATCCTGTTAAATCTGATGCTTTTTCTGGAATTCTTCAGGATGCAGCTAGATATCGTGATGAGTTGAAGGAAATTGCACCTCATTCTCTCCTGAAGTGTTCAAGTGATGCAACAACCTTGGTATGACATTGACCTAATTACCCACAGCTGCCATTGCTGGTTTACAAAAGGATGTTATCGTTGTTTTTTAACTTTTATTTCTAAAGGACTACAGTGGGTTCATGTTATGACTCCTCTGGGTTAGTTGATAGGCAGCATTTGCCTCTATTAGCAGTATTTGAACTCCTTTGACTTTGTTTGTAAGATTTAATTTGATTTTAGGTTTGTTGCTAACCTTTTTATTTTGGAACTGAGAAGCCAAATGTGCTTGGATACAAAAGCCAACATATATTTGAGGAACTAAAATTAAAAGTTTAATTCTCATAAATAACAAAAATGGAACTTTACATTATGTGGGATTTATTTATTTTTTAGGCATTTTTTCATTTTTAACCTAGTATGATTTTGCTTTATAAAATCTTTTGAGAAAGTAAAAGATAAGCAGTACAAGCATTGAGTGAGTGAAGCCTTGACTAAATTATAAATCTTTTGGTATTCTGAGATCTTTATTGAAGGTGTAGTTGTCATGATCCTAGAGTGGAGCTAGGAATCTCACATCGACTTTATATTAGAGTTGGTCATGGGATATAAGGTTCACACATTCCCCTCCTTGTGAGACTCCTTTTGTGGCACAAAACCGTGAGGTCAGAGGGGTCAGAATGAACAATACCTCATAAGGTTGTGAACCGTGATAGGTAGGCTAATTTAGGACGTTGGATAAGTGCATGCTCGGATCCTAGAGCCGCGCGAGCTTGGAGGTTGAGTCTTAGCCTGTGACAAATGGTATTAGAACCAGCTCTGGGGGTACTAGCGATGTGCCACTGAGGATGGTGGGCTCTCATTGGAGTGGGGGAGGATGTCACGGTCTTAGAGTGGAGCCAGGAATCCCACATTGACTATGTACTAGAGTTGGTCATGGGATATAAGGGTTCACACATTCCTTTCCTTATGAGGTTAGAGGGGCCAAAGCGGACAATACCTCACAAGGGTGTGAACTATGATAGGTAGGTTGATCTAGGACGTTGGATGAGTGCATGCCTAGATCCTACAGCCGCGCCAGCTTGGAGGTTAAGTCTTGGCCCGTGACATAGTCTGATGCTAAAATAGGGTTATCAAAATTCCCCACTTCTTTTTTGTAACCTAAGTGTACTTTTGATAATCATATCTCCCTTGCTTCTTTCTAATATTATATTCTAGCAATGTAGGTTTTTTTTTTTTGGCCAACTAGCAATATAAGGTTTAATTTGGCCATTATGGTTGTCAAGACTCCAGATTTTTAAGTGAGATACTCTTTACTTTTTTTTTTTTTGCTTCTCTGGCCAATTTCTTAAGTTGAGGTACTCTTTGGGGTCATAATTCCTTACCAAGCGAATGTAGTAAGGTCTATAAGGCTTATCCTTATGAGGAATTTGTCTTTGTGGAATCTATTTTAATATATCTATCTGGACATGTTAAGACAGAACCAACTCTGAATTACAGAAAATTGCTTATTTAAAGATGAAAGGGAAGAAAAAATTGTCAATCTGATACAAATATTTGGTTATTTCAGGGAATCAGAGTTCAGGTTATGAGTGTGTACATAGAGGGGTGTAATATGCCTTCAAGGGGACTGTACTTTTTTGCATATAGAATAAGAATAAGCAATAACTCAGATAATCCTGTTCAGCTTCTCAGAAGGCATTGATTTATCACAGATGGCAATGGGAAAACTGAAAATGTTTGGTGAGTTAACTCTATTGTCATCTATGCTATCTTTTATTTATCATTTTTAATATAGCTTAGTTTCAGTCTTCTCCTTCCACTGTTTGACAAGTATCAGATGGAAGTGTTTTTTATTCCTTCATATCCATAAAATCTGATTTTGTAGCATTCTTTTACTGCAGGGTTACTGGAGTTATGGGCGAACGGCCAGTTATTCTTCCCAGAACAGGTTTCGAATACTCATCTGCTTGCCCATTAAGTACATCCAGTGGCAGAATGGTAAGAGAACCCGCATGGTTTGCCTTCTTTCTCATTGGAAAAGTTGTTTGATTTTGTTAAAACTGAAGTACTGTTTAATTAATGGAATTAGAAAAGAATTTCTTTTTTAAACTTTATTTTTCAATTTGACACTTTCCTTTACAAGAACAATGATTATGATGTTTAATCATTAATTAATTGATGCAACTTGCTCTTAATACTTGTAAGTAGTTGGGTAAATTGCTTCCGATTTCCAACAGAGAAAGTTCATATTCCAAGGTTTTAATCTTCCTTGATACCAAATATAATTGTATTTATCTTAGTATGCAACAAGTTGATAGTCTGGGTAGAAAATGGTTGTAATAGACAGATAGACTGATAGACAGTTCAAAGCATATCTTGGAATTTATTCATTAAGCTGCCCATTGGATGGGATTTATACTTTTAACTTGTTCAGCTGTACATAGGTATTTTGAATGCAGCCCTAATGCTAATCTTTCTGTGGCATATTAATCATAGAATCTATACGCTGACTATAAAAGTCAGGTTTCTTGACCGTTGTCTACTTTGTGGTTATTTTCTCCACTTCCTTGAGAAGCTTAAATTCTGATGTAAATTGCTACCCCTGTATGCATGTCTTTTGTGCCACTTTTGTGTTTCATTTTTTTTTTTTAATACCCTTCTTTTTGAGCTGAGTCCTGAACTTTTTGGGCTACTTGGAGTTGGACTATTTGTTAAAATGCAGTCAAGAAGCTCCTATTTATTGCAATGCAGGAAGGAGACTTTAAGATGAAACACATTGACAGAGTAGGCTCACCGAGTTTCAAGTTAGCCATCGCCCCATTTTCTCTCTCCACCCTGGGGGATGATGTTGATATCTTCTGAAATCTGAAACGAAATTGTCACCTTGGAGAAGCACAGTATCCTTGTCAATAAATAGAATCAGGTTATTTTTACAATTGAAGCTTGGCTTTGTAAAGCATGTTCTTTTGTGATCCAAATGTACAGATCTTCCAATGTAAGAGCATATATATAAATATATATTTCTGTTAATATTATAGTCCATTGTGTTTTTTGAGACAAACTAATGAAATATGTATTTAAGCAAACTTTAAATAACATAGATTTTGATAGGGGATTAGACATGAATGCTTTACGTATAAAAATTTCCCTTTTGAATGAATGAAAATCCCTATGGCGTGAGTTGGGTTCCTCCATGCATTGCCTAGCTTGCTTGCATATATTTTGAGGAACTTAGTTGTTAACTGTTGCTATTATTTTCTGGAGATTTAATTACAGGTTAAGTAAATTCCAAATATGCATGTACTGAAGTAAAAGATTTCATGATCTTTCAATGAATTCCTGTTAACAAAATGTTGTTGCAGGTTCCTAGGTACATTTTGATGATAATTCAAATGGAAAATAAGATTCTACAAAATATTTCTCATTTATGTAATATTTAATCTCTCTATCGACCGTAGACAAGAGCTTGAAACATTCCCCGGTATGGAACAATCATAATTCTACAAAACTTAGACTATCACTTTTGAAATAAATAATAATAATAATAAAGTTATTATCTCCTTCAATTTTGTAATGAGGTCGCTGTCTCTCCAAGTTGAGTGTTTACAATCGATAAAAATGACAACAATTTGACAAGAGAACATTATTTTTTACCTTCGCACTAAATCAACCCTTTATGCAAAACAAGAATTACATCTTAAAAACGTAACCTTGAGAAAGTTTTACCCAACTTAAAGCACCAGAAGATGGTAAATCTGAAAGAAATCTGTGTACATATCTGTGATGGCCATTCAGACAGCTTTGTTTGTGTATGTTTTATTATACAGGGCTAGTCGACACCTGCAACAACAATACAGGCTTCCATTTAATACAACAGAAATGAAGTTAAAGATACTTAAGGAGACAAATTTGAAGATACGACATATATTTATTGGTAACAAAAAAACAAAATGTAAAAGAAAAGGTGTTGGAGACTCTCACCTCAGAATTTGGTCACATGTAATAGAACCAAGGTCCAACAAATGAAAATCAAACTTCATGTACAAAAATATGACACACGTGATCACAAATAATTGCTTGGCAGAGAACCCATTACAATGATATTTTCATTGTCTTTATGCTCCATCCCTTCTGGCTTTGTCCTTGAAAATAGTCCAGAGAGGAAACCCACAGGTAACCCAGAACTTGACCTCTTCCCTAACAAGTCTAATGCTCCTCCATTTGCCCCAAAACTAGCACCAAGGATTAGACTATTTGAATGCCTCATCGCCTCATCTGCTCTAAGTAGTGACCCACAAGGACAGTTTGCAATCCTTTTAAAGCAATCCTTATGGAAAACTGATCCACAGGACATGCACTTTTCAATATCACCTTCCTGTTAATTATTTAATGCCCTCAGATTGTAGCAACGGAAGAGGATCAACAATAACTGATGCTCCACAACTTATGAGCTTTCTCAAGCAAAAAGTTATAGAGTAAATATGCTACTTTTTTTCTTTACAAAATGAATAACTATACAGCATGTATGTAATTTGTAATGCTCAAGCTCAATGGTTCAGGCATTCTTAACAACCCCAAGCAAAAACAAAGGGCATCATGTAGTAGGGAACTCATGCAATGATAATGGCAATAGAGACATCAGGATTATAAGAAAATTTTGATGGTAAATTCATCCTGGAGCAATTGATTGGCTAGATAGTAAACATAAATAACCAATAGGACGTATACTGACCAGAAAAGGAAATATGAGAGATGATGGGTCATTACAAGACTGGCGAGCACTGCAAGGGACTCCTACATCACAGCATATGAGGCATTGCTCTACTATATGTTCCTGAATTTTCCTTGATACAGTTTCCACCATCACAGGAAGAGCTGACATATTTACTTCAGATTCAAACCAGCATAGGAGAAGAATGCCAAAAGAAAAGGGAGTACAAGAAAAAAGAATTTATATCCTATTTTGCAGATTCAAAAATGAAACCTACTAAAGCTAGATAAAAGCATGTCAAAAAAAAGATCCAAATGGAAGTCCACTCTTATTTCTCAGGTGATACATATAATATATTATTTGAAGACTTCTTCACCATCAAATAGGGGGACAGACACACATTACTTTTAAAACCTTAACAATCAAAACCTTCACTTGTGAGTTGTTTGTCTGAGTTTGTTTTCATGGTTTTGCAGGTAACAGTCTTCCAAAAAAGTGGTATTAGGCCAGTCCTGACTGAAATGGATACATTCAAAAATAATGACCTCTAAATAGAAAGTGAATCATATAAAGTCCAGCACAAAAAGAAATGGATAGACTTGATATTTAGATGATCTTTTCATGATTAGATAATAATAAAGTCCAGCCTAACAAGGTTTCATGCTTTATACATCATCTCTGTTTCCACTAAGCACCAACTTTCTAACCCAATCACCATCACCATCATATGTGTGAGAGAAAGCAAACTTAATCTTAAAAGAGAACTAATAAAAACTCATAGACAGCTTTGGAGGCGGTTTGCTTTTCACCCATTATTTATAAGGCATAATAATAACATAAGCAACAAAGTCCTTAGAAAAAGAGTTAACCATTTGAAAAAAAAGATATATTTAAAGCTGGAAATATAATAAAATATCATCCACTAAAAACCAAATGCTTATGGTGGGAAGTTAACCTGCAAAAGCTCCTTTGGAAAGATCAATGAGATCTCTAAGCGCAAAAAAATCATTGCTTTCAATAAGATATCTTCGAGATCCAAGTCCTTTGTTGATTGACATAAGAAACGGACAGCGAACATATGGAAGCATATTTCCTATTTTTTTCCTAATGCCCATAACATGGTGCAGGGCTGGAACCTTCGAAAACAGGAGAGGATTAACTGCACTAACACAAAGCATGGGCTGCACAAAAAAAAAGGACTCTTTATCAAAACACTTGGCTTGACCTTAAGTATTAATTAAGTAAAAATTTTGGAGATTAAAATTGCACTTGAAAGCATTTTATTAAATGCATACATAATCTGAATACAGATAAACAAGCACCGCAAATAGCTCGTGGTTGGGTGTAAGGGAAGAAAATTCCAGTACAGAGCCAATGAACCTTATCATTCCTAGGCTCCCTATCCACAGCAATTTTAAGACCCATTGGACTATAATGAGAACCCATGTTACTCATTTTATCATCCTTACCTTTAAATCTTTTGAAAAGTACAAAGATGAGAGAGTAAGAGAATTATTTCCTTAAGTAGGAGTAAAGATATCTACCTGAATGCACTAATTTCAAACTGGATGGGCATATGTAAAACAATGCCTAATCCTGGTTGTCTTTAACATACAATTGACCTATACCTAGATCCTATAAACAACATTTCATATCAGTACCACAGCCATTACCTGGTCATGTATAGAATCCAGATATGATTTAGCCAATTGAGAAACTGGATAACGAGTAAAATCCCAAAGATGCAACACTCTTGCTGGTAAGACTGCCATCTCATTTTTGTGACAGGAAGAACAAAACAACTGGCCGATGTATTCACAAAGTCTAGGCTTTCCCCATCCAAATGATTGGACCAAATCTTGCATTACAGTCATTCCATCATCAAAATGTTTGTGGCATCCAGCACAAGTGTAATGTTGAGCTTCTAACATCTGTTTCATTGATTTGGGTGGTCGAACTTCAACAATAAGTGATATAGTCTTCCCTAAAGGAGAAATATTTTCTGTATCTTGCCCTCTTGAAAAATATGTAGACTGAGGCAACAGGGTATTTGATGGGGGGGTGCTAGGAAATGAATCTTGAGGAGACAAAAACCAAATCAACGTAGTTGGAGGACTAGAAGAAAACCTGGAATGGATAATGGAACATAAACATTCTTGAATAAGAACGCTTCTTTCAGCAATAACATCAGGAGATGCATTCCCAAATATGTTTCTAGATTCCCTTTCTACAGATGACCAGGGAGGAGGAAGAATCCAACCTTGCTCAGAGAATAATGATTTCAAGCGACGATAGAGGGTACAGAAATCGCGGTATCTGCGTTCAACCTCCCACTGGTCATTGCCACACCACACTCTTATCTTATACACAGTGTATTCCTTTACCCCAACCAATCTTTCACTAAGAGAGACGTCTCCTTTCTTCTGCTTTGCACCCACCACTTCAACACCATCTATTCTCATGGCATGTGCAGTGCGGAGGTAAGCATCACCTGCATCTGAAGTAGAAGCAGTTGACCCTCCATCTCTTAGAGGTAGGGATAACTGTGGTTGGAACATCCTATTACCCTGAGAGAAGAACATGGCTCCAGGAGAGTCAACAGACTCAAGCAAAATTTCTTCCATGTCATGAACAACCTCATCATAAAATTCATTTAGCTCAAGATTCTCCACCTGGAAGATGTAGTGGATGGACAAAGAAAAACATTAGCAGCTTAAAATGCAATTTATTGGAGCCACCCTCAGTAGGTTGATAACCACTTAACTACATAAGACGGTTTGTCAATCACAAACTCAAAAAGTCAGTGGCACATCAATTTTGATAATAAACCATCACATAAAATGATGCACTCAATGCTCAATGAGCTCGTTTCCAGCTACATTGCACAGAATGACAAGTCTGTAGTAAGTCAGTACAAATAGCAGAGGTCAACATACCACAACATTAGACAATGAACAGCTATGGTAAGAATGATAGTTAGTTAGTTAATGCAGCAGATCATCTTAGAGCTTTTGCAAGTTTATCACTAAGTTATTTTCCCAATTGATTTGAGAACCACCATGCTTCTTGACCAAAGTATCCAGACAGCAAATAGTTCAACAAGATAAATAAAAACAAAAAGCTTCTCCAACCAGACCAAAATTATTTTGCCTAAGTTAATATTATTCACTCCACTAGCAAAAATGTAAAAACACATCTAGCTAACAGTTACAATTCATAAGCATATGAAAAATCTTAAATAATTCAAGAGGCTGAAACAAGAAAATTTACAAATGACTGACCTTAACCGGTCCAGTAGGTTCTTCAAATACATCTGCTGGTGCAGGAAGATTCTTGAATGTAGTACTCCCAATACTTTCACAAGTAGATGTGGGAAAATCAGGTTTGCAATCGTCAAACACTAGTGCATTTATTTTTGGAGGAGAGTAGATTGGACGGGCACAATCAGCAAGCGGATCCAATTCTGCTTTATACTTGCCAATGTCCTGTCTATCAGATAATTTACTCTCATCAACAGCAATCACCTCCTTAGAATCAATAGATTGATGCTGCCTTACCCTATCAGAATCCACAACATACAAACCTATCTCCACAGGGGCTTTTTCTACAGGGGTATCCTGCTCCATTGCAAAGACATCGGTAACAGAACAAGTTTCTAGATACTTCATGTCATCATCAGCATCGTGGAGTTGATTTCTAGTAAAAGCAATATCTTTTACATATTTCTCTGCCTCGTGACCCCTTCGAAAACTGACCGCATTGACCAAATTTGCCTCTTCTACTAAATCATCAACCACCCTTTCTTGATAACTTGCCATAGGAATGTCTTTTGCTTCTTCTACAAGCTCTGGTTCTCCTGAACTGGAAAAACCAATTGGAAAAACACCAAAAGTATTAATATGCTCTTGCGATTCATCCCTAACTTGAACTCTTTCCTTTGCGACGGATGCATCTAGCAGCATGAAAGAAGCCAGATCAGCCATGCCCGCTTCTTGCTCAAAATCATCCCAATCATTGGCACCAAACGCCACAGACGAATTAATCACCAAAGGATTCTCGCACACATTCTCATTCTCATTTTTATATTTCTTCCTATAATAAGAATTATTCTTACACTCATCATCATCTGTCCCATAGTTATACATCGAATCTTCCCCTTCTGAATGCTCATATCTAGATGAATTCCCATCTTCCTCCCTTAACTGCATATCCAAACATGAAGAACTACCTTCTTCAACGATTTTAACGTTAGCAAATCTGCTTCCTTCTTCGGTTCTGTCTTTTCGAAACGAAATTCTCCCATTGGATAGAACATTTAGGTTCCCCTCCAAACTGAAATTCTCAAAATCATCAACCAAACCATTAATACCCCTAACTGACCCGAACTCAGATTCTCCAAAACAATCATTGAATGTAGCTATTGCATTCGGCGTTCCAAGCGCCGAGTTCGCCCTGCAATAGCGTTCGAGATCCGATTCTCCGCAAGATGCTTTTGAGGCGCCGCCGCTGGCCGATTTCAAACGGGGTGGACTGAAAGAATTGGGAGAGGCGACTTGGTCAAGGTTGTTCCCGCGAGCCCCCTCTCCATCAATCATTTGGTAATGAAATCGAGAATTTTGATCAAATGAACCAACAGCTTTGATCTGAATTAAAAGAAAGAGAATCAGAGATTAATCAGCTTACAAACCTGATAGAATCAGAAAGCGGTGATGCTCTGCTTAGGGTTTAGTTTGATTAATGTGAAGAGTAAAGAGTAATTGAAGAGCGTCAAAGCGGAGAGGATTGAGAAAATAAAATGAAAGGATTTGACCGACCGTTATGGCACCGGACAGTCAAACACAAATCAAATTTCTGAAAGTGTCTATGACTCAGATCTTTCTGAAAATGTTCTTTTGTTGGTTTTTAAAGACAACTTATTGGCAAAATATTAAGGTGGTTGGTCCGGAAAAAGTAATTTTTTTGTTTCAAATCTTATTTTTTATAATTTAAATTTTTTGTTTAATTTATGAAAATATGATTATTGGAGTTTTTTAAAATTTTAAGGGTGTAAAAAAGAATGAGAAAAATAAAGAGAATTAAAAATATTTTTTGTTTTTGAGATGTTTTAAAATTTTATGACAAAGTAATTTTTCATTTTTTATTTAATTATATTTTTAGATTATATAAATAATATTATTTACTTTTATAATGTAGTATTTTTTATAAAATATTAAGAAAATAATTTTTTTAATATATTTTAAACAAAAATTACATTTTTAATATAGTACTATCAAAATTCTCACAAAAGTTATAATTAAAATTATTTTTTATAATTCCATAAAAACGACGTTTTCAAAAATAAAAAATATGATCTTTTCTAAAAATATGAAAATTTTATTTTTTAAAATTTAATAAAAATGACGTTTTTAAAATAAAAATACAATCTTTGTTAAAAAGATTATATTTTTAAGATAAAAGCATAATTTTTTGTTGTAAATATGAAAAAAAATATTTTTTAGAATTTAATAAAAATGACATTTTTAAGATAGAAAACATAATTTTTATTGAAAAGATGATGTTTTTAAAATTAAAAAAATAGTTTTTTTTAAAACATGAAAAAATATATTTTTTAAAATTCAACAAACATAATGTTTCTAAAATAGAAAATGCAATCTTTGTTAAAAATATGAAAAAAAAAATATAATTTTTAAAATTCAATAAAAAGACATTTTTAAAGTAAAAACATAATCTTTATTGAAAAAACAATTTTTTTAAGATAAAAACGTAATTTTTGTTGAAAACATATAAAAACATTTTTTTAGAATTCAATAAAAATGATATTTCTATGATAAAAATCTAATTTTTGTTAAAAATATAATTTTTTAAGATAAAAAAAACATAATTTTTGTTGAAAATATGAAAAAAAATAAAACATAAAATATTTTTAGTTAATAAAATGTAAAAAAAAAATTCGATCCACTTATTTTCTCTACATAGAAACAATAACATTAGAATAATAATTAAAATTGTAAGATTATATTTATTAAAAATTTTAAAAAAAATTATTTTTCAAAATTATTTAGTTTCAATGAAAACAACGTGTTATTCACATATTAATATTATGAATGTTATGTATTATTTACGTGTTATCAAAAATAATATAATAAAAAATTTTATTAAATAATCTTTCATTTTTATGAACCAAACAAAAAATTCTTATATTTTGTTAAGTCAACAAAGCTTAGGAATCACACATTCTTCCTTGATATCACTTTATTCTTGAATCACTTTTTCTCTTAGATTCTGAACCAAATGCCCCCTAAAGATTAATGACTTATTTGAATTCAAATTATAGTTTAAAAAGTTATATATGTATAAAATAAATATTAAATGTTTATTTAGGTGTAATAAAAATATAAAGATTTATCTAAATAAAATAGTAAAATTTAGAGACTTTTTTATTATTTTATGGCATTGTCTCTTTTTTTTCTTTGTGTATTAGCGCTATAGTTGTTTTGCACAACAAAAATAAAATATTTTTAAGCTTAAAATATTTGTCCACTATGTTATATATTTTTTGTTAATTTTGTTAATGTCATTTGTTAACTGATTGACATAAATATTTAATAAAATAATAATACATATAAAAAAGTTTAATCATTACCAAGCCATCAATTGACACGTTATCCTTACAAAAAATTTCCAAAAAATTAAAAAAAGCTTAAAATTTTCAAAAAAAAAAAGAAATCCAAACTTTTTTGTAAAAACTGAATTTAAAAGAATAAAAAAACCCCAACAAATAAAAAAAATCAAAAAAGAAAGAAATTTTCTAATTTTAAGGAAATTTTAAAAATATAAAAAATTAAAAATTATCTAAAAAAAACCCAACAAATTCAAAATATCTAAAAAAAAATTATAAAAAATTTCAAAAAAGATGACAACATTCAAAAAAATCTCAAAAAAATCAAAAATAAAAAATTTTCTCCAAAATTAAAAAACCTAAAAATATATAAAATTTTAAAATCTAAAAAAAATTTGAATATTTTTTAAAAAGAAAAAATTAAAAATTAAAAAATACAAAATTTTTTATTTTTTAAAATTTTGGGTTTTTTTTCAAATTTTTTTTAATTTTTATGATTTTTCAAATATGTTTTCTAGATTTTTTTAATTTTTAAGTCTTTTAATTTTTAGACATTTTTGAAGATTTTAGACTTTTTTTGTTTTTGAAAATTTGAAATTTTTTATTTTTCATTTTTTGTATTAAAAAAAATTTAAATTTGTTTCAAAAAAATTAGATATTTTTAAAATTTCATATTTTTAAATTTTTGTGAATTTTTTTATCTTGATTACATATTGTAGATTTTTTTAAGGTTTTGAATTTTTGCATAAATTTTTTGAATTTTTTATAAATTTTTTAAAATGTTTTAGATTTTTTTATTTTCTTAATTTTTCAATTTTTATTCGAATATTTTGATTTTTTAAGAAAATTTTTTTAATGTCAATATTGTAATTGATGATGTAGCGTTTATTAGATTTTTTTTATTTATGTCAACATATTATTGAATGCCATGTAACATATTAACTGATAACGCTAGACCAAGATACCAATATAGATGACAGAATACAAGTTAGAGTATTTAATTATGAATTTTATTTCTTTGGGTACCAAACTAATAAAAAATGTATAATACATGTACTATTTTGTATTGAACCCATTTTTTAATATACTTTTTCTCCATTATTTCCTAACATCATGTTTTCTTTGTTTATTTTAGAAAACAATATCATTTTAAAACTTCATCTAAAATCATTTTTAAATTTTAAAAAGAAAGTATTTTTAGCTTTCGTGCAAAACTAGAATTAGACTCTCTACTGCATAAAGGAATTATTTTTCATAATTGTTTTTATTATTTTAATATTGTTAATTTTGAATTGATCTAAGATTTTGATATAACAAAACATTAAGTTAAATTTATGATTATCAAATTTATTCATTTAGTAATTTTTCTTTAACATTGTTTTTCAATCAATTCTTAAAAAATTCTTAAATATTATTATATCTCAAATTTTTGTCAACAATTCAAACTATTAAATGAATATCATTGATTAAGACCATTAAGATAGCAATGTGCCAAATTGTCTCCACATGTTTGCATCTTTTTGAATTGGATACATTACTATATATGATTTGAAATATATTTGCATATTATTATATATGATTTGAAATGCATCTTAATTAGAATATAATTTTGCTTGAATTAAAATAATTATTTATGTGATAACATTTTTTAACGATTGATATGAGCTGGAATATATGTCTACATGATGTTGATGTTTTAAATTCTAAGCATATTTTATTAATACATGATCTATGAGTAGTATGTATATTATTCTTCCATATTTCTGCTCATAATTATCATGTAGTGAATTTGTGATTGTGTACTAAATTGCTAAAATTGGATATATTGAAATATTTATGCTCTTATGCTTGGATCCATATATTTGAACTTTATTATACATATTACACTTGAATACACGAATTCTTTATGACTGTATATGTGCTTGAATTCTTTATGGCTGTATATGTGCTTGATAGGATCGTATGTGCTTAGCCATATATATGATCTTGAAATTGTTTTATGCTTTGAATTCATTTTTATTTTGATATGATAAAAAGGGGGAGAAATATATATATACATGGACAAAATTTGCTTTTAAATTCTTATTAAATATTATATGATGGTATTGTTATTTATTAATGTGCTTAAATGATTTTATATTATTGTTGTATATTGTGTTGGAAACATGATGTGGAAATGGCCTTATTGATATTGTTTTAAGATTGAAAATTGTGCTTGTATTAAGGAGAGATTAAATAAAATTTTTTTTTGAAAATAAGAAGAAACTTTTTCAAATTTATTTTCAAAATTCTTAATTGATTAAGAGGGAGGTTTTCAAAAAAAAAATCTATCTTAAATTTTGTATATATATATATATATATATAAAAGGAAATTGTGTTTGTATTTTTTGGCCCTTTTTAAGGCTATGTTAGGCTTATGTTTTCGCTTGTAATTAAGCTATATAATGGGCATTTAAACGGGCCACATTATATGCCACATATAAGACTTTTAAATGAGTTGCATAATGGGCCCAAAAATAATGGCCTTGGCTCATGTTGGGCCCTCGAGTTTTTTTGGCCTAAAATTGAATTAAATTGGGCCTCAATTGATGTAAGAATGAGTTTGAATCAAAGATACAATCAAAACACCCAAAATGACCCAAATTGTTATGCCTAGATTAAAATTACATCTGTATATTGCCAAATTGTTTAGAACAAAATTTGATGTCTACACATGCAAGGTTTGAAGGTTTGACAGTTTAAAGGTTCCCAAATTATTCTTACATCATCGTCTATTATAGATGAGAAAGGCACCACAATCCTCACCCACCATTATAAGCTCAAACATAAAGGATTTAGTTTAAGTAGTAGTTTTGCTAGCTCACACAAAGATTATCACCTCACGAAAATATAAGTACTTGCTAGATTCTAAGAAAGAATAAAACTCGAGTTTAAAGCCTATGCATGAATGCATGTGTACAATGTGTAAAGGAATGTGCCAACCCAAATAGTCAAATAAATTGGTACATATGAAAAGTCAAAATCTACAAAATAAACAAATAAATTAGTACACATAAAAAAAATCTTAAGTTAAAAAAATAAATAAATAGGTTAGTCCACATGAAAATTTTAAATAATTACATAATAAAACCATCAAAGTAAGGCTTAAGATAATATATAACTAACGACTTGACTCTCTAATGTCCTTAATGGAGTCATCAAATTGTCATAATGTTCAAATCTGTAAACCTACTCATTAGACATAAAAAATATAGAGTCACCACCAAATTTTTTATTTAGAAGTGATTAGTCACCTATGTGAATCTATCATTTTT